TTAAATTAGACAATAACTAAAGTTGTATATGTGGCTTGTTGTACACTCTTTATGTAATTACAAACAGTAGAGACTATCAATATATATCCCGTATATAATTCTAATAAAATTCCTTCAGCAATATAAGCTGCTTTAATAACTAAAAAAAAAAAAAAAGATACATGACAGATAGTTATATAGACAAAACTAAACAAGAAAACAGTTATGTAAAACTAGAAATTGAGAAAGATCTTGAAAGAAAATATAGTAGAATAGAAATTATAGCAAAACAGATCTATAATATTAAAAGAGTACTAAAATTATATTAAGAAAAGAAAGCAACTAAGACGAATTTAGAAGATATCATAGAAATTGATAAAATATCTCATACAATAGCAAAAAAATTAGCTAGTTTAACTAAAGAAGATATTTACGAACTTTTAGTTATAGAAAAATACAACATATAATGAGAGAAATAAGTATTAAAAAAGCAAAACTTTGTTATGAACTTATTAAAAAAGAAGAATAAACCCAAAAACTACAACAAAAAATAGATACAAGATAAGTAGAAGTACTCAAAATTAAAACTACTAATATGTGTAGATAATGAAATAGAGAGATAATAACAAAGTTTAGACTACAGACAAGAGAAGTACTCAGAAAAATACAATTAAAGTAACAATGAAGAGAGAAGAAATATTTAAGAAAAAAACCAAAAGAAGAAGTAAAGAAGACTATTAAATCTATCAAGAGAAAAGATAAAAAAAGAAAAAGATAAAACAAACATTAGAAAAACTTAAAAAAAATCAAAACCAATTTTTTTTATAGAAGATCAAGCAAAGCAGAAAGAGGATAAAAGAAAAAAGAGAAGAAAATAGAAGACAATTTAGACTTAGAATAGAATAGAAAGAAAAGAGATAAAATGTATCTAAATGAAAGAAAACTAAAAACTTGTAATCAGTAGAAGAATAGAAAAAAGAAAAGAAAGAAACATACAAGAATTCAAGATTATAAAGAAGAACTACTACTAATCACATAAAGTAAATCTCAATTAAGATTCAGAATGAAAATTATCAAATTCTAGTATATAAAACAAAAAGGCTAGATAAAGATATGATATAAAGAAGTCTGAAAAAACTACTATAAGAATATTGAAGTAGCAAAGAAAAAGAAGAAAATATTATAGAGAAAAAAGTATTAGAAGAAAAAAAGAAGAAAAAAGTAGTTAGAAAAGATACAGCAATACAAAGTAAAAAATATAAGACAATTAAAGCTCATATAGAAAAAGAAAAAAGAATTTTGAAGAATCTAAAAATTAAGACCTGAACTGGAATAAAAAAAAGGCTAAAGAAGATGGGATAAAATTTAAAAACAAATAGACATTCTTGATATAGGCTACTAGTAGCCTTCTATAGATTAGAATTAGAAAGTATACTCAGACATAATACTTATTCTAGAAGGAAAAAAGCTACTATAGCAGATCACTCTTAGGTACAAAATAGGCAGCTGAGTGAGTTCAGAATTATAACAAAGAGAGTAATTCTAAAATTAGATTAGTTTTAATTTTATGTATTTGTTTTTTCTACCTATATAGCATATCTTTTAATAAAATAAAGAACAAGATTATCTAAAAGAAAAAAATATATATATATAAAATAACTAAAAGATATAAAAGATATACTATATCTACTATATATTAAAGATATAATAGTTATTAAAGAAATTATAGAAATAGTAATTATTATAAATTTAAATATCTTGTAAAATATATAGAAATTCAAGATCTAGTAGAACTAATAGATTTTTGAATGCAGAAGATTATTATATAAATATGTGCCTTTTGTAAATTATATAATTCAGAATTTGTATATCTTAGTATCTAGTAATCAGATTTGAATAATCTTTAGTTTATTAGATTTATCTTAGTAAGCTGATTCTAATAGTATATATTTTATTAAAATTGGATTAATAGATAAAAAGTTATTAATATTAGAAGTTAATTACTTATAATACTATTAGATCAGAAGTTTATTCGATTTTTTATTTTTTTTTATCTCCAACACCATAATATTTTATAACTTCAGCACTCAATACTTCTAAATATTTAACTAAATAGTTATTTTTAAAGTATCTTTTGATAGTACTCATTCTTATTTTAATTATATACTGATTATTATATAAAATGCAATAAATATGTTGTTTATCTAAGGAATAAGTAAAATAATTTCAAAAAAGATATGCATTTTTAGATCATTTTGAAACCTTTTCATTTACTTTTTCAGCATTAGTTTTATTGTTAGAATTATCAAGGTTTTTGTTATTCAAATAATCAAGATTTTTATTATTAGAATTTTCACGGTTTATAGTTATAAAATCCTTATCTGAAAAGGTAAGTATATCATAGGTAAGTATAATATTTCTTAAAGATTTAGAGTTGTTAAAAGAAGACATAGTATGATGCTACTAATAAACTTTGAATTTTCAAGTTTATGAAAATTCAACATATTATATATATTTATAGAGAAAAAAATTGTTTGTATCTGAACAAAATACATTATATTAATCTGTTTGGTTATTGTCTTTAAGATCCTATATTCATATCTTTGTTAAAGAGTAATTATAAGAAAATAATCAAAGATAATTATTATAATAAAAAAGATCAATGATAATTGTCTTAATGCTCAAAGATAATTGCCAATAAATTAGAATATATTTGAGAACAAAGATTTTTTTAAAAAAAATTATAATTATATTATTCAATAAATTCAAACAATTAATTGTTATTGAATGAATTAGACAAAGATACTATATTTGAATATATAATTTTTTTTTATTTGTTTGTCATTATTAGATTTTTTATATGTTTGTTATTATTTAGATTTTATAGATTTTATTCTTAATAGTAGCGATAATTAATATTTATTTATTTCACTCAGTTTCTATCCCTATTGTTATAAAATGAGAGGGAGAGATACTATAAATCATCATTAAATATTGAGAAAAATTCAAACTAATAACTTTATAGTCTAATGTAATTATGACACAATTTCATTTTTATGATTAAAAAACAGAAAAATTTACTAATCAGAGTACGTATCTAGTAAATTTTTAAAGTATTAAATTACTTTAATTTAAATAGAAGTTTCATTCTTGATTCATAACCTATTAAAATTTTATTTGATATATCAAAATAACACTGATTTATTGCCTGATGTAATAATGATACAATCTCATTTTTATGATTGAAAAACAGAAAAATTTACTAATCGGAGTATGCATCTAATTATTTTTTAATTGTGTTAAATTACTTCAATTTAAATAGAAGTTTTGTTCTTGATTAATAACCTATTAAAATTTTATTTGATATATCAAAATGACACTGATTTATTGCCTTATATAAATATGATACAATGTTATTTTATGATCGAAAAAAAGAAATAGACTTGCTTTAGAGTTAACCAATCAGAGTACTATATGATGCTATTAATCACCTAATTAGTGTCATTTGAAAAGTTCTATTATTGATTCATATTATTTTATTTTTATCCGATGTGTCAAAAAAGACACTTATTTAATATCATGTGATTAGTGCGCTAGTTAAAGACCAGTTTTTAACTAGTCCCT